CCTCCTCCCCACAAAGGCAGCTACTGCCCACCCCAGCCTCCTGCCTTGGTATCCAAGCATAGTTAGAAACATTTTGTTTCTGTAGCAAACATATCCTGAACAGAAAGGGAATGATTCAAAAGTTCAGATGAGTGGTAGGGAGAGCTTTGCTTACAGAGACCTTCCTTCTGTTAGGGTTTGTAAACTGAGTGGTTGGCAAGTGACTATTGTATCTCAACATATTCTTTATTATATACCTACTCATGTATTTATTGTGTGTTTATATTTTCTGCATGTATGAACTATCTCAAAATCAGCTATGGCTGGATGGAGGGCATATCCCGCAGAACATAGGAAGCTACAAACTCCAGAAAGAGTGAAAGGACATTAGTCCACCAGCAAAAGATGAGAAAACCACATGGTAGGGGCAACCGGACCCATGCTGAAGCTTAGCGGATGTAGGGGCCTGAATGCGGAGGCATTCAGCCAGACAGGGAAGCTGTGACATGGGTGTTTTCTCCAGGAAGCACGTGTGCAGAGTGAGAAAATGGGGGCCAAAGAGCACTGATTTTCAAAGAGAAAGAACGCTTCAAATGGAGGCTGAATGGAAAGGTGGAACAGAGAGAAAAGGGTCCCCAAGGCAGAGGAGGTCTGGTCAGCCTGGATGTCACAGCCAGTTCATAGACGACCTTACGTAACACCTTCTGTGGAGGAGGCAGGACCCAGATTTCAGGGGGGAAAGACGTGACTCCGAGGAAAGTAAGTGAGGATGGGAGTAGGGATGAGCGCAAGAAGTTTGACTGAGGAGCGGGAGGAGCAAGAAGCTGCTCTTAAACTTTTTAAATGTTCTTTTAAAAATTCTGATCTGACTTACCCCTACTAAGGCAGGAGGTGGGGGAGAGTCTTCTGCCAGAAGCAAGCATAGCGAGCGTCCCTGTGGCTGGGCATGGGATGCAGCAATGTGTGAGGTCTGTGTGTCCTGGTGAGGAGGAATACTTCATCATTGCCAGTGTTCAGAATTGCTGGTACATAGTGATGGTGAAAGATAAGAGAAAGCAAACCAACACTTAGTCATTTTTATTGCTTTTTCATTCTTTACAGACAACACACCTTTCTTGCCTGCATAGGGACCGACTGCTCCTACTACCTGGTCCTTGTGCCACCAGGGGCAGGGGCAGGGTTTGATTTGCAAGAATCTGGCTTTTCACATTCTAGCTATCAACTTCCTTACCTTCTTTGCACTTCTATGCAACTTTGGCTCACTCTAATGGAGGCTAATTCGAACCCCTTCAGGGTTGTTGTGGGGATGAAATGAGTTAAGAGGCAAGCACCAAGTGCCCAGCACAGGAGGTGCTTATTAAGTGTCCTTTTGGAGTGAGAGAACAGGGAAGATAGTGATTGGTGTTGCCCAGCCCCTTCTCAGGAGAAGAGCAAGGTCCTGTGCAGGACCCTGACATGGACCCAGCATGAGGTGGGCAGGTTGGTGGGTGGCCACACAGCCCTGATGGTTTGGCTGGACCCTGGTAGCTAAGCTCTCCCACAGGAAGAGCTTCATCATCTTCACTGTCTGCAAAGGACTCCCCAGAGTGCCAAAGGACAGGCCCAGGCGTTCTCAGGGCTGGGAGAGCCTTCAGAGCTGGGGCTGCCCCTGCCCTCCCTCCTGGGTCCCTGAGGAAGCTCCACCATCTGGGCCACAGGGGGCAGTTGTCATGGGGACTCCAGGCCTGCCAAGCAGCCTCCTTAGCAACGGGACTCCAGTAACCATGGAAACAGCATCCACTCCTGGAATCAGTGATAGGGACTGGGTTCCCTGCCCTATTCTGAGGACTTCCCCTCCTCTGGCGGCTGGCTGGCGGGTGACAGGGTATTCCCTGCGCTACATAGGGAGCCCCTAGGGTTTCACACCCACCCATGACTGACAGGGGGAAGGATGGGCTGCTGCTCCCCAACCCCAGTAAATCCAAGGGCCTGTGGGAATCCTCTGCAGCCAGGGTGGGTTCCCCAAACCTCTGCAGTGGCAAAAGCAGTCCTAGCCATGACGCCCTCCTCCTAGCTAGGACACTGTCTCCAGCCACTCTCCAGATTCCGGGGCCCTGCTGATCAGGTCATGGTGGCATCTCTCTCAATATCCATACAGACTACCCTCCACTTTAGGGAACACTAAGGGCCGCCGGCCCTGGCTGGAGTGGGAAGAATCTGAGCCAGGATCCTGTATGTCCCTAGCAAAGGATCACAGGCTCCCTTTCTCCCTCCTTTACAAGGACTCTTACCAGCCCAAGAAAGGCACACACCTGCATCCTCAGGTAGACCCCTCACACACCCTGCACTTCGGCCGCATGCCCTTGGGGCAGAGGCTCTGCACACAGGTCCCACACATGCTCCAGGGCCGAGTGCCCCACCGTCCACAGCCTGGCGCCTGAGTCTCCAGTCCTCCTCCCTGAGCGCCCTCTTTCCCTCCCCGTCCCTGGCCCCTAGAAGGAGGCAGCATCTGCTGGAATTTTTTTTTTATTTAAATAAAATATACAACATGGCCTATTTGCCGTTTTCTGTTTTAAAAGTGGAAGATTCCAAAATTGCTTGTGGATGGTTGAGGATGGGAGGGCCTACTGACCGGACCTGGCTTCCCCTGCCTCTGGGGAGTGGCCGGGCTGGGCCGGAACTTCTATAAAATGTGTGTGTGGGGGGGAGAGTGATGAGCCAGGTCCTGATCACAAGGGGAGGAGGTCCTCACTCTCCACACCTCTGACTTTGAATGGAAGTTCAGAAGTGGGGGTGGGGGTGCCCACATCTGTCCCCACCCCCCCACTCTCTAAGGACTAGACTGGATTTGGGCTAAAGTGCAGCTGCCTTCCTTGGGGGGTAGGAGTATCCGTTTAAATCCCTCCAGTTTAGGGGATGGATCCAACGATCTTCTCCTGCCCAGGTGAGACCAAATTGCAACAGGTTCTAGTTTTTCTCTAAGACCCTCGGGTCCTTTATCTCCTTCTCTCCTGGATTAATGTCCCCACTCACTCCCTGTAGTCCATCTATAGAGAAGTTGGTTCCCCACACAGGATAAAATTGGATCTTACTAATATTCTGGCCTGGAGGCGCATGGAGATTCTGCAGAGATGAGGTGGGACCAGCCCTCCTCGCGAATCAGGCCTTGGCACTCAGTCCTCCTTGGGCCCTACTGGCAGAGGGACAGACCACCAGCCTTGGCTTTGGAAGGGTCTTGTCAGGGAGGATTATGCCTCAGGAGGCAGCTTGTTGCCTTGGTCTCCACTCTGGAATTGCTTGGTGCCTCCTAGTTGCCTCCAGAATCAAGGGTTATCCCCTTACCCTGGCATCCACAGCCTTCCTCCTGACCACCCAGCCTGTAGATCTCCTCCTAAAGCCCCTGAATCCACAACTCCCCACCCACCTCCCTCTTGTTTCCACCCCATTGGCTTGCTCCCTCTCCTTTCCTTCCTCCCTCCCTCCGGCTCTTAGCCACGTCTCAAGACTGGACCACACAGCTTCCTTAGACCTTCAGGGAGACCCAGTCTACCTTCTGACCCCTGAGATAATAAGTCCTAGAGCCCTCAAAGCTCCCTGGGGCCTCCCCATAACTTGCTGGAACAATGGGCTGGGTCCATGAAGGGAAAGAATATGATTTATTGAGCACCTACTATATGGTGTGTGTGCCAGGCCAGGTGATTTATATATACTATTTTTTTCATCAGGTCCTCAAAGACCCTTGTGAGGTGGTACCACAACTATTCCCATTTTACAAAAAGGTCAGATAGCTTACCCACGGTCACACAGCTAGGAAGTGACAGTACTGGGATTCGAGTCCTGGCCCTGCCCTGTGGGTGGGTTCTGGCTCAGTCCCTCTCAACAGGTTTTGGCTTTAAGTAGGATTCCAGTCTCAGCTCAGTCCCAGCTCTGCCACTCCTAGTTAAGTGATTTTGGAAAATTACCCCAAATTCAGTTTCCTCACCTGTGAAATGGGAAGAATCATAGTACCTACACCACACGGTCACTGTGAAATTGAAAGAGTTTGTGTGTGTAAAGTGCTAAACCAGTGCTTGGCACGGAGCAGACTCAAATTGAAGTTCCCCTCACCTCCCACAGGACAGATGGGAAAACTGAGGACGCAGAGGTGAAGGGGTGTGCTTGAGGCCCCACAGGAAGGGAGAGGCACAGCCTGGAGTCTTCTGCTTCCATGTGGTGAGAGGTTGGGCTGGACTAGTTTTGAGATCAGAGGTGAGAGGTCCTGGGGTCCTCTTCCCTGAGGACTAGAGAGAACTCTTTCCCCCAGACCCCTTTTGGAGCTCAGCCTACAAACCAAGGCGTGTTGCTGATGTAAGGTGACCTGGGTGTCCTGGCAACATGGGGTTAAACTAGATTGCACACACATGTGCACACATGTGGGCAGCTGTCTACATGGCTCTACAGAGCACTACGTAGCTATACATATACACAACTTACATACATATACATATTCATGTACAGATCTTGCTAAGTTTGCAGTAGAAAAAATGCAAGACTCTCAGGGCCCTGGCCCCCTTTCATCCCAAGGACTCAGGTAACTGAGACGGAGGTTCCTCAGGAATAGGGCCAAGGTTAGCCCTTGCAGGGTATGAGATGATCCCCCAAGGAAGTGGGGTTTCAAGCTCATGCTCAGGGCTAGGTGGTGGCTGTTGCCCTAAAACAAATACAAGGACAGGTCTGTTTTAGGACCCCCAAACATGGATCATCCCACCCCTGCCAAGCCCCAGGCCCCTCCTGCCTTCCTCTGGCATCTGCGTTTGGGCCCTGCTTGCTCCCCTCCCCCCTCCCTCTGGTGCTGAGTATTAAAATAGTCTATAAAAGCAAGTGACCAAAAATCTATAGCTCTAAGAATACCTGGTTATTTTCTGCTGTCTTTTGTTTTTCTGGTGTGTTTTTTTTTTAAATGGTAATTATTATTGTTATTGGTATCTCTCCTAATCACAGTTAAACCTGAAGGAAGAAAGGAGAAAAAAGAACAGAAAAGAGGGAGGGAGGAGCCCCCCCCCTCATAGATTGGACGGCAGTTTGGAGCGAACGGGCTCAGACCTGGCCCCAGGTTCCCTCTGGGGGGCAGCAGTCAGAGGGGGACCCCCAGAAGAGGCGGCTCTTGCCCCAAACAAAGAAAGAGGGGGTGGCAAAGAACCTGAGGATGTCTTCCGAGGCAGAGTGACGTGCTGGCCTGGGACGGCACCATAGGGCCTCCCGGGAGGACCGAGACCTCCGCTGCCCCCACTGCTGCCCCCAACTCTGGGGAGGAGCGAAAAGGCAGCCACGGACTCCCCAGAGGAGTGTGGGGAGGCTCGGCGGAGAGTCTGTGCCCCGTCCTGGGGTAGGGCGGGCTGAGAGGCTGAGATGAGCTTGAGGTCCTGGGTGAGGCGGCCAGGGGTGAGGGGTGGCGTGCCCCGGCGCTGGGGGACCTGGGGCGGTGGGGGGCTGGATGCAGGTGGCAGGAGCAAGGAGCCGTGGGAACCAGAAGCCCGGGGTGGGGCACTTGGGAAAGTTCTTGGGGGGCCAGGGCTGTGGCCTGGGGGGCTGAGACCTCCTCGAGGGGGAAAGGCGACCGGAGAAGCCCCCCCAGAGGCTCCGGCACTGAAGGACAGCCGCTCTGGCTGCCGTGGGGGTGTCTCTGGCGTGCTCGGTGGGCCAGCTGCCAGACCAGGGGACAGCTCCCCTGGAGGCTGGCCCAGCTGCCCGGGGCTGGCTGACGGGGACCTGGCTGAAGGCGGGGGCGGCAGGACGTGCTCCAGGAGTCCCAGGCCGCCTCGGGCGCTGGACAGCGGGGGCGGGGGCTGGGTAGCCTGCGGGGAGCGGGCGCCCGGCTGCAGCGGGGTGAGCAGGGGCGAGTCGGATGAGGACAGGGAGCCCCCCAGCGCCTTGTGGAAGTGACCAAAGCCGGCGTGCGCCGTGGCGGAGGGCGTGGGGGCCGGGGAGGAGCCGCAGAGCCCGGGGGGCGGCGGGGAGGAGCTGGAGGCGGGCCGCAGCGGGCTCAGTCCCGGGGGCGCGGAGAAGCCGGCCAGCTGCTGGATGTGGAAGGAGGAGGAAGACGGGGTGTCCACTTGCGACGGGCTGCTGGCAGGCGAGGCGGGACCTGGCGCCGCTGACGGGATCAAAGACGGCAGCCGCTTCAGGTGTCTGGGCGTCTGCCCCGCCCCCAGGCCGCCCAGCCCCGAGGCGGGGGTAGGTCGGAAGATGGCCGCAGGCAGGCGTGGGTGGTGGGTCAGGGCAATGGCCACTGAAGTGGTGGCGGCAGCAGCCTGCAGAGGCGCCTGGATCAGCGGGGTCCAGATGACAGGCGTGGGAGTGGGCGTGGCGGCCGCCGCGGCCTGGACGCGGTGAGCGCAGTGGGCCATCTCTCGGTCGTGCTGCACAATCTGCTGGATGATCTCGTTCTCCTGGTAGTTGAAGACGCCCGAGTTGAGGTCGTGCTGGACTTTGTGGAGGAGGATGGAATTCTTCTTGCCTAGACATGGAACAAGAACAGGGGTTCAGGTCAGAGAAGGGGGAGGCCCCGGAGTGGGCTGCGGGGAAGCTGCCCTCCAGCCTGCCCATCAGTCAGCCGGCTGCCAACCAGCCCAGGCCCTCACCGATGCGGTCCAGGCGGTCCAGTGCCACGGTCTCGAAGGCCCGCCTCATCATGGGATACTCCTCCAGCACTTCATTGAAGTTGTCCACGCTCAGTGAGTAGAGACGGCAGTAGGTATCAGCTCTCACGCTGGCTGTTCGCCGACCCCTGGTCAGCAAGCAAATCTCTGCAGGGGACATCAGGAGTGTGTGCGTGTTTAGGGGGCTCCCTGCAAACTCCATGGGGCCTTCTAACCCCAACCCTGACCTGGTTTCCACTACCCGGTACAGAAGCTGGACAGATCCACCAGGACTTACTCCCGGGCTGTGACTCCTGGGCCATCCCATTGTCTCCCCAAATGGGTGTCAACCTGTCTTTCCCATCTTGGGGACCATATCCCTTTCCTGGCTCACTGACATCTACTCCAAGAATGAGCACGAGAAGCAGAAATGCTTGCCATCCCCGCCACACCAACCGATTTCCCTATCCTCTCCTCTCCATGACCACCTCACCTCCAAAATAGGAGCCATCCGCCAGCTTGGTCTCCTTGTTGCCCTTAGTGAGCACACTGACCACGCCATGCTGGATGAAGTACATCTTCTTGCCAATGGTGCCCTCCCGGATGATGTAGTCCCCAGGCTGGAAGACTTCGAAGCGCAACTTGGTCAACATGGATGTCACAAAGTTTGGATCCGCATTGGCAAACAGTGGCATAGAAGCCACCAGCTTCCGGCAGTTAAAGTTGATGATTTCCTGCTCCCAGATTGGGGGTGGGGGTGGGGGAAACACAGAGAAGGAAATGAGGGGAGTCACCAGCCAGGGAAATCTGGCTCCCTTCCCCAGCTGGTGGTGCAGTGCTCACCTCCCGCAGTGGCTCACTGAGCTCCCCCAAGATGCTCTCCTCGTCGAACATCTTGCCCTGATAGCGGTGCTCATAGTAGTCATGGATGCGCTGCCGGGTGTCCGGTGGGAGCTTGTGGAAGGACATGTACTGCTCCACCTGCTTGTACTGAGGCCCGGGAGAGAAAGGGGGTGTCACCTCCAAGCCAGCCAGTCAGTCCACTGCCCGACCTGTCCCCACCTGGCCTCAGGCCTGCTGGGAGTGAGTGTTCTCACAGTCAACCTTGTGGATCCTTTCAGTCGACCATGGCTCCTTGAGATTGAGATTACTGTTGTGGGTTTGGTCACTCTGCACCCCAAGCAATGACCCTGACTCCTAGCGCTGGGGTGAAGGGGCTCCGTCAGAATATCCAGCCCTCTCTGTGTTGATATGGAGATGACTGAGGACAATGGGAGCCCTTCAAAGACCAGTTATGTTACAGAGTATAATTTCCACAAAAAAGGGAGGTTCTATGTTTCCTACCCTGTCTAATGAAGTGTGAAGCTAAACAGCAAGCAGGAGACTTGGAAGAGGCAAGTGGAACAGAAAGATGTGTGAAGAAAGCCTGCTTGCTTCTCGGCTTTGGACATGCATCCAGAGCTTGAGGGATTTGGAGGAGCCACATGGAAGAGAGACAGGTAGAGACACTTAGAAGAGACATTGGTGAGAGAACTTTCATCTTAAACTTATCTGGCCTCTTCACTTTCCTGTGGTTCCCAGAAGGTGGTTACTTAGACTTTTGTGGCCAGCTTATAGGCCTCAGCAGCCCTGCTTTGGGCCAACCTGTTTGGCTGGGCATTTACCCACAAGAGGATGGGTAACTCTGGTGTTTTGTTGGGAAACTACATCCTTTCTCTTCGCTTATCTCTATGCACACTAGCTTATTAAAGTAGTTTAGTTCTAAGTGTGTGCTTTGTCTTTATGTGAAGGATGGCAGAACCCATTTAGAGTGTGCATATGCAAAGATTCTGGGGTGACTTCTCATTCTGCTTGGAATAATCAAGTTTCCTCTGAATCAAGTTTCTCCCTCTTATATGGAAATTACACTGCAGATCAAGAGCCTCGCCCATTGTGGAAGGAGCTATGTCTTAATAGTAGTGACAAGCTGGCCTAGACAGCAGGATCAGGCTGCAGTGTTTGAAGAACTGGAGGCCAACCAAAATGCCTGCCTATCCAATGGCAGGTATTCAAACAAGGCCCTGTTGCAACAAGGTATTTTGTTGAAGAGCAGAAGGTTCCAGTAGGATGGTGGAAGAGTGAAGACACAGGTCTCGCCTCTTCCACATATTTACCACCAAATTATAGATAACTAAAGATAATGGCAGTCCCTGGAGAATGACCTGATGACCAGGTCTGTATCAAGAGGGACTAACATGACAGAGAGGGTAGGAAAACCAGAAATTTAATTGTGCCTGGCATCTTACAAGGCAGCATAACCCAAGAGAAGGAAGGGTAGCTGTGATATAGAGCTTCTCTTACTGTTGACTAAATGGCTCATGCCCACATCAGGGAACCCAGCGGCTGCACTGGAGAGGGTGTGCACAGTTGGTGTGCAAGACAGGGCATCTCCTCTTGTAGAACTATAGGAGCAGGGAGAAGCAGATACCGGCAACAGAATGCCTCACTAGTAGATCAACGCTTGCAAAGGTCAGTGCTGTCCTTCCTGATAGCAACCCAGAAACTGGAGTTGGAGTTTTGTAAAATACCCTGCACCTCTAAACAGGGGAGTCTGAGGACAGTGGACAGTTGGTAACTGCTGATGTGGGATCTTGTATAATGTAGTGATGACTGGCTTGAGTTTGTGGCTCCCGGGAGCAAAAGCTGAAGCCCAAACCCAGAGGGAAGGCTCCTGCATAGTTGTTCCTCCTACAGAAGAGGCACCTTTCCACAATGAAAACTGCTAAGCAAAATGCCTGCCACAGCTCTTCTAGGCAAAGCTGGGAACAATCATGAACTGTGCCTACTGCCAACAACCAGTGCTCAAAGCACCCAGATCCTGGCACCTGGGAGAGTAAGCACTCTGGGCGAGGCTCTATACTGGAAAGACAAGAGAACTAACCCCAGCCGTGACTATATCCCAAAGAGAGGCCCCTCCTGGTGCTGCAGCTTTTGAAAGGATTGAGACGGGCCTTCAGGGAAGGCAGTTATTTGTGGAAGCTACATGCAAACCTTGAGAAACACATACTCCTCATTTGCCTGCAATTAGAAGGAGGACAGTAGCCTGTCCGCAGTGTGAACAAACAGCTCTCAGATCATTCTGTTCTGGCCCATACTCCTGACAAAAAACCACCAAAAAAACCGATTGATCAGAGAAACTGTACACAGAGCTTAGTGCTAGTTGCAAGGCTGAAACAAGCCCATTATTCAAGATGCTTTAACTGAGGAACTGGCCTGAGGAAGGGAGTCACAGAAGATTCCCCAAGCCAACTTGGACACCACAGCACCTCAGGAAGTTTGGTCCTCACTGGCAGTAAACTCCAGGGACCCTGGTGTCCTGGCTCCTATTTCCCACCCCCTGCTGGTACTTGGGTTCTGATCATCTGAACAGGTGCAGAGATGTCTGTGAAGTGATAGATACAAAAGGATCCTGGGTAAACAACCTACAATTATATCCAGCAGTGTGTAAATGTAATACAAGGTCAAGCCACCAAGACAAAAAGAAAAAGCTCTTTATCTCAATCCATAAAAAAGATGAAGATAAGGAGGAACATATCACAGTGTCGGAACAAAAGAAAAAACAAAGAGAGGACACTAAAAGCATTCTCTCAAAAAAAGGGGTCACAATATAAGGGGACACTTATTAGCTGGTGAAAACTTCGCAAGCAATAATGGAATAGTAGGGAATATTTAAATTCCACAAAAGAAAAAAAAAAGATTTCCAACCTAAGACATTTTCTCCAGCAGACTATTATTCAAGACTCAAAGAGAGAGAAGGAGCTTTATAGAAAAACAAAATTTGAAAGAATATATCACTACCATGCTGATCCTGAAATAAATACTAAAGGACTATTACAACAACCCATGTTTCATCTAGAAGTAATAGACACCAAAATTATACAACATGGAGGAGGAGAGTAAAAATATGGACCACTAGAAAAAGCTTGAGAACAAACCACTCAATAGGTCACAAGTATAGATCATCACGCAGAAGCCTCAGTATAATTTGCAAGCAAAAATCTATAGTCATAACACATAAGACAATGGAAATGAACAATAAAACATAAAAGGTAACAAAAAAGACAAACTGAAAATTTTAAAAAATGGCAATAAGTACATACTTTCAATAATCACCGTAGGTGCAGATGGCTTAAATTCATCAATGAAAGAGTACAGAATGGCCTGATAAATCACAAAACAAAATCTAAATCTTCGTTGTTTACAGGAAACTCATCTTACTACAAAAGCTAAGCACAGACTTAAAGTAAAAGACTGGAAGAAAATCCTATAAGCAAATGGCAGGTTAAAATAAAAGTCAATAACAGCTTAACTTATATCAGATAATAGATTTCCAGTTAAAAAAGGTGGTAAGAGACAGAAATGGACATTATACAATAATTAAGGGCCTGATGCAATAAAAATAATAACATTTGTAAATACTTAGGTGCCAAATGATTAGCATAAAAATAAATAATGCAATAATTAATAGAATTAAAGAGAGAAATCAACAACACAACAGTAATAAACATTTTAATACCCTGCTTATAGCTATGGATAGATCAGTAAAGCAGAGAATAAATAGAGAAATAATAGCTTTAAATGATGAGCTAGAATAGATAGGCTTAATATCTACAGAACATTCTATCCCAAAACTCAATTTATATGTTTTTTCTCAAGAGCACATGGAAAATTCTTCAGAATAGACCAAATGTTGAGACACAAGACAACTGTCAATAAACTCATGAAGGCTGAAATCATACTGCATTCTTGCTAAACATAATACCATATTGCTAGAAATCAACTGAAAAAAAAACCTGGAAAAAATTCTCAAACACATGGAGATTAAACAACATTCTGCTTTACTGGGCTACAATAATTGCTGGGCTACAAATGAAATTAATACAGAAATTAAAATACCTGAACACCTAGGAAAATGAGAACACAAGCTTTGAGAATGTGTGGAAAACAATTTTAAGAAGGAAAAAAAATTGCAATAGATGCCTACATTAAGAAACAAGAAAAATCCCAAATAAACAAGTTAACATTACAACTAAAGCAACTTTAAAAAGAACAAACAAAATCAAAAGTTAATAAAATCAAATAATAAAAACTACAGCAGAAATAAATAAAATAGATAGTAAAGGCCATAGAAGAGATGAATGAAAATAAAGTTGGTTCTTCAAGAAGATAAAATCACTAAATCTTTAGCTAGGCAAAGAAGGAAAACTTTAATAAATAGAATTAACTTTGAAAGAGAAGAAATTACTACAGACACAATAGGGATACAAAATTATCATTAGAAGTAACTATGAACAACTATTATGTATGTGCTAAAAATTCAATAATCTTGAAGATATGGATACATTTTTAGGGAAAAAAAGTTAATCAATGCTAAACCAGGAAGAAACAGCAAAACTGAATAGACCAGTCCCAGTTATGGGAATTGAAATACTAATCAAAAATCTCCCCCAAAACAAAAGCCCTGGACCAGACTGCTTTATATGTAAAGTTTTATCTAAACTTCAAAGAACTTATACCTATTTTACTGAAACACTTGAAAATTATTCATGAGGGACTACTACTACTGTCTAACACAGTCTAAGATGTCAACATTACACTAATTATCAAAACCAAGCAAAGATATAACAAAAATGAAAACTATAGGCTAATAGTTTTGATGAATATTGATGTGAAAATTTTTAACAAAATAGTAAATGGAATTTCAGCAATACCCTATAAGAATCATATGTCATAATCAAGTGGATTATCCCAGGGATACAAAGATGCAAAGTAATTAATGAGTACACTGTATCAACAAAAGAAAGAAAAACCATATGATATCAACAGAAGAGAAGAAAGCATTTGACAAGATACATCATCCATCTATTATAAAACCTCTAAACATGTGGGCCCTCCCTGGTGGCGCAGCGGGTTAAAGCACTGCACTAAGAAGCTTAAGCCACTTCCGCATG